GGCATTGTAAACTTGCCGCAAGTTTGCTGCAAACTGTTGTGCTATCTGGGTAATGGCAAAAAACACATAAAAACAAGAAGTAAAGAAATAATTGCAGGCACGCGGAAAACAAAAAATCAAAAAAAGGTTTTGAAGATTTTCACAATTCTCCTCGCCAAATTATACGCAGAAAACGAAAGGTAAAAAAATTCTATGTCTAATGTCCTTGCAAAATTATATGTAAAAAAAACCAATAATAAAAAATTTTTTAATTTTTTAAAATGTTTGTGAATTGCTAAAAATTACGCAGGAGCGAAACACCAATAATAATGGTAAAAAATCTAAAGTTTTTAAATTTAATTTTTATTCCTGCAAAATTATATATGTAAAAAAAGGAACAGAACATTTCAAGCTTAAAATTCCCCGCGGAATTATGCACGAAAAACTATAAATAAACGAATTTGAAACTTTAGACCTGAAAAAATTTGAATCTAAAATCCAAAAAAAAACAAAATTTTAAGTCTAAAATCCTTGCGAAGTTACATGTAGAATGCTAATGATAAAAAATAATATTTGAAAGTCTTAAAATAAAATACACACTGCACACGAAAAGCAAAAAATTTTTCAAGTTTAAAATTCCTCACGGTAGACGAGGAACAGAAAAATTTGACAAAAAAATAAGAACGGAAAATGAAAGCAAAGAAATTTTAAGTCTAAAATCCTCGTAAATTAAACGCGTGAAAAAAATAAAAAAAATTCAAGTTTGAAATCCTCGCGGAATTATATGTAGAAAACTAATAATGAAAAAAAAATTTCAGGTTTAAAATGCTGTAAAAAATACACAGAGAAAATGAGAAGGAAAAAAACTGATCAAGTCTAAAATTTCTCATGAAATTATACGCAAAAAAGAAGAAATGGAAAAATTAGAAATTTGGTACTGAAAAAATTTTTTTTTAAATTTAATTTTAAAATCCTCACGGAATTTACAAGCGGAATGCTCATAATAAAAAAATGTTATTTTAAAATTTTTATAAAATGCAGATAAAAAACAAAAAAAAATTTGTAGTAAAAAATTCCGCGCGAAATTATAAGCTAGAAATAAAAAATAAAAAAAATTTGAAGTAAAAAAATCCTCGAGGAATTACATGCATATTACTCGCGTAAAAGCCCAAAACTAGTCGTGTATTTACATGCGGAATCCTCGCGAATTTCCTCGCGGAAATCTGCGTATATTTTTTTGATAGGGTAGATCGATACTGGAGGATTCAGGCGACATAATTCAATAAAACTTATAAACATTTTAAATATTAACATTTTTAATTGGGACAACACATGCTCGTAATCGTGAAATTATGAGGAATGTGAATATGTTAAAAAAAATTAAAAATTTGTTAATAATAAAAAATTTTATAATTTTCATGAAAAACTAATTAGGGGCCATAAATAGAAAATGTCATTAGGCCCGAGAACGCTGCTTAGGCCCCCGCGGTGCATGCGTCCCTCGAGCTCCGTGTTTATGGCCCGGCCGGTAGAGTGGGGGTATAGTGCTTCCCCTCACGGGGCTACTTGGACACTGCCCCCCTTGAGCACCGTGTTTATGGCCCGATAGGTAGAGTGGGGGTATACAACTTCCCCTTACAGGACGCAATTGATGACTGCCCCTCATAAGGAAAGGTATAAAGGCTATTGTACTTGAAAAATCTAGAGGATTTAAGGAGCACATGTCTCCAGGATTTAAAAGGCTGCACTGAGAGAAGTTAAACACAGATTTCGTACTAAACACACGTTCAGATAGTGTACCTAACCTTTCGAGCAACATCGGTTCTAAATTGTATCGCAGCTGCGCTTTTTGGTGGACAGATACTGTACTAAATCGTTTGTCCTACAAGTTAGGTCAGAATCAGTACTCAATTGGCGCTGCTGCTGTTCGATTTTAGTACTGCGTCTGCACATAATTGTGGTACAATATCTGTCCCTCAAAAAATGCAGATGTTGCGTTAAACTTCTCTCAGTGTGGGGAAAACCAGTCTCACAACTAAAGGTGCTTATATACCTCAAATTTCGATCAGATGAACATTATTTCTGGACCGTGAAAATGCGTGAAAAGTCATTTTCACGGCGGGTATTTTTGAATTGTTTTAAACAAAAAATGTTTTTTTTAAGAAATATAATATTAAATAATTGTTTTAATATGTAAGAACACTTTAAAATAGTGATAAAAAGATGATTTAATTGAAAAATTTAGCAAATTTTGCTTTAAAACGTTTCTGCTACAAGAAAGTGTAAAATGACGATGTTTGTGAAATGGTTTGTACAGTGTACATGTTTCTTTCAGTTATTCGAAATAATTAGTTGAATTTAAATTTATTTGACAAACATTTCAACTTACCGATTTATTTTCAGCACTCATTATTTATTACAAGTTAAAAAGAACCGACATAACATAAACAAAACTCTGAGAGACACTAACAAGGAAGAAGCACTGTACAAACCATTTCACAAACATCGTCATTTTACACTTTCTTGTAGCAGAAAACGTTTTAAAGCAAAATTTGCTAAATTTTTTAATCAAATCATCTCTCTATCACTATTTTAAAGTGTTCTTACATATTAAAACAATTATGTAATATTATATTTTAAAAAAAAACATTTTTTGCATAAAACAATTCAAAAATACCCGCCGTGAAAATTACTTTTCACGCATTTTCACGGTCCAGAAATAATGTTCATCTGATCGAAATTTGAGGTATATAAGCACCTTAAAATTTTAGGATCTCAAATCATAAATTATATTTTATAAAGTAAACATTAATGATTATAATTATAATCGAAACAGAAATGTTTAACTTGATTCTTTTTGAATTAATACGCAACAGTTGTTGAATTTCTCGGCAATATTTTTTTCAATGTACATAACTATTTTTAAAACCAATGTCAAAATAGAAATACTTACACGTGTAATTTAAATATTTAAATTTTTTTGAAATTTTAAGAATTGTTACACATGTAACTATACGCGTGTAATCCATACACCATACTTTGAGTTTTAATGGTAAAAAGTCGTTTTTGTCAATTGACGTACTGATCGATTTTTTTTTTAATTTTTTCAAAAAAAGTACTTCTTTTTACGAAACTTTTAAGCCTAGCCCAATAATGGACAAACAATTTTTACAAAATATTTTCGGAATTTTTCAAAATTCTTTGAATTTAAATTTTTTCAAAATATTTTTGGTTTTTTTTATACTACTCTCTAAATCTGAATCAGTCATATTTTACTAATTGCCATAGCGAAAATTGAGCAACTGACAATTAGTAGAAATTTACTGATTCAATTAGTAAAATATCAATTACTGATTGAATCAGTAATATAAATATATGGCGGCGGCTACAAAATCTACTGATTTAATAGTTAATTTTAAAGGTTATGTTATATAAAAATTACTGATTTACATAAGTTATTTTCTGTTGCTTGCATATTGACTAATTATATTAGTAAATTTCAAAAAATAACTGAAACCTCAGTTAAAATATGAAAAGTACTCATTTTTAGGGTGGGAGAATGTAATTTAAATTGTCTAACCGGAAATTGCGAACACTCGGAAAATAGCACTTCTGGAATCTGAGTAGTTGCAGTTTTTCGACTGCTCGCATTTTCATCGCAATCAGTATGTTGTTTTGACTGCAAACATTTTTTTTAAATTTTCTTTTAAATTTATTAGATTTTATTTATATTTTTTTATTTGGAAAAATGCACTAATTACAGCGCAATTCGAGTCAAAACACCTTTGAAACAGAAAACTCGATTATTTAAACAAATATAAGAAATTAAAACTAATACCGTAATTTTCTATTACGGCGCAATTGTATCAGTTTCGGTGTATCAATTACGGTGACCAAAATTACGTGTATTTTAAAGATACTTTACCCACCGTAATTGGAGCCAATGGAAATTTTAAAAATGTTTCAATTACGGCGAGGGAAAAAATTTCATCTCAAATAATTAAATTAATAATTGTTTAAATCTGCATTTTTATAAGTAATTGTATCAAAAAAAAAAGATTAAAATAATTTTTTTTAATCATTTTTCAGCAGTTATATTAAATATAATAGTAATATTAATTATTTTTTATGAATGCGCAATAATTGATGCACTTACTCTAGTATTAAAAAATTTTTAATTGACCCAATTTGTTTAAAACTTGTTATTTCACCGTTTTTAAAGTAAAATTTATTATTAGATTTGTAATTAGCAACACTAAATACACCTAATTAATGAGTTTCTTAAAAAAAATTCTTATTGGATACCTACATCATTTTAAACATTTGTTAATATAATATATGTCAGATTTATCAAAATCAGAGACATTGAAAATATCAGAGATATAAATTGAAAATAAATTTAATGTGGTTTTAAAATTTTTTCGACTACCACATTGCAATATATTTATAGATTATAGCCCTGGCTTTTTAAGCTGTTGTATACATATTTACTTTACTATTATCATTATTAATACAGAATTTAAAATTGTCACCTGTAAACACGTTCTATTCTTTTATATAATATATGTACATGAAATTAAAGTTTAATTTTTAAATATTAAGACATTTATTTTGTTTTTTTTTTTTGTTTTATCATTGATAAATTTCAATGCCATATTTTATCTTTCGAGACAATAACTATATATTTGTCCCTTGACAAAAAATTTTTTATTTTCAATAATTTCAATGTTAAAATAAATTAAAAAATATGTAATAATATAATTTTTCTAATTTTTCAATCTGTTTTCTAAAAATCAAAATTTGGAGAATATTCATAAATCGAAAATTGGTTCTAAAATTTTCTATAATCAAGGTTAAATATACATATAACACTTGATTCACTTGAACTGAGTTATTTTTTTATGTTAATTTTTATATAATACATATTTAACCATACAAAAGGTTAATATATTATCATAAAAGGTTAAGGAATTTTAATTTTATCCTTCATTATCAAAATAATTAACATAACATAAAAAATATATATACATTATGCCTAATATATATAAGCATTTAACAAATAGTAAATTACATCAGTCTAAAAATTGTGACCTAAATTAAATTCTTCAATTTATTTCAATAAAAATGATATTTACACGTAAGTAATTTCTTTAAAATTATTAAAATATTTTTTAACTTAATGTTAATTAATGTATAATAAATGGGATCTCATTAAGACATAAATATAGTGCGTATCACATATTTTAATATTTTCATCAGATTCTAATTCTAAATGTGTGTTTTTTTGTTTGTTTTAGATTTATCGTCGTATTTTCTAATTACTAGTTGTATTTATACAGTAATTGCTTTTGATCACCATAAAATATTGTTCAATTTTAAAGAACCAAAATTTTTTCATCATCCTTCATTATTAAATAATCAAAAATCAATAAATCCATCGTATTTTAATGATGTCTTGGATATATTCTCTAATAATTTTTACAAGGTATAACTCATCTATATACACATATATATATATAGAATCTTAACAAAAAATTTATAATAAATGGATGTTTTATATTTGTATTGTTTTTTAGACAGCGTCAAAGAAAAACTCAAACATTTTATTATCTCCTTTGAGTGTAAATGTAATCTTAGGTATGCTAGCCTTTGGTGCTGAAGGAAATACAGCATCTGAAATACTCAGAATACTCTGTTTGCCATCAAATGACCAATTAATGATAAATAGTTATAAGTATCTCATCGAGAATTTGATGGTAAGAACATAAAAAAAATTGAACCAATAATCGGACTATAATTTTCCGAAGAATTTTGACGTAATTAATCGAAATCTTATCACAGAATTGACCCAGCACGTCAGGTTTTCGGTTTTAGCCTAAAAGTGCAGATAAGACGATTTTTGGCCATATTTGAGGTCGTGTAACATTAAGTTATAATTTTTTTTAAAAGATCGATGAAGCATCTGAAAGTAGGTACTATTCTTACCCTTTCAAATGCATTTTGAAACTTTAAAAAATCTTTATTTGGCTCTGAGTTATCGTCATTTGAATTTTCTGAAGCATATTATCTGTTACACGATATTTGATGAAGCTTCTGCAAAATACTAACTGGAACAAATAAAAATTCGGGGCTCATGATTATTCCATAATGTGAATTATTTATAACTAGCAAAATTAAACGCGCGCAAGCGCGTCAAATTGAGTATTTAATTGTTTGTTATAAAGAAATTAAAGATTAATATTATCAATAATAATTTAATTTATTAGAATATTATTACATATTAAATGATAATAATGAAAATTATATGTTTACACGCCTCGGATTATACGACTTTTATCGACTTATTTTAATAAAATGCGACATTTTTTTTTACATTTGAAAAAAAATGTAAATAAAATACATTTTTCTAGTATAAAATGTAGATCTTCTTCAAATCTTCAATTTAATTATTTAACAAATTTTGAACTAAAATAATTCTTCACTAAATTAATTATTTTTAATAATTTTAATGAAATACATCACAAATTCAATTATATCAAAATTATTTCTCAATTAAAATTTTTATGAAATTTAACAATTGTTTATAATTTAAAAAAAATATATCACAATAAATTTGCATTATTTTTTAAAAATTTCAATTCAAAATAAACTAAAATTCAATTATTACCCCAAATTTTAATTCAAAATCAACTAAAATTCAATTACTATCAAATATTTTCAATTTAAAATTTAATTCTTTACCAAGTTTTCTATTTAAAATGAAATAAAATTCAATTATTTTCTAAAATTTCTATTCAAAATTAATTATCCAAATTTTCAATCAAAAATGAACTTCAATTAAATTATTATCCAAAATTTCAATTAAAATTCAATTATTTCCCAAAATTTTCAATTCGAAATGAACTGAAATTCAATTATTTTCCAAATTTAAAATCAAATAAAATTTCATTATTCTCAAAAATTTGAATTCAAAATTAATTTAATTTAAAAGCATCTAAAATTTAATTATTTCTAAAATTTTCCATCGAAAATTTTCTTTTTTTGAAATTTAATAATTTCAATTATATAACTCTAAGGAAATTCAATTATTTTTAACTATTTTAATAATATTCTTTGAAAATTCAACTATCTGAAACCATTTTTCAATTAAAAATGATTTTCAAATTATTGTATATTGTCCGCATTTTCTAATAAATTTTTAGTGAAATCATCTAAAATTTTAATTACAAAACACTTAAAATTTCAATTAATTTCAAAAATCTCAATTTTAAATCTTTGAAAATTCAATTAAATTTAAAAAATGTTTTCCAAAAATTGTTTAATAAATTATTTTTAGTTCTGTAAAATTTAATAATTGTTTGAAAATTAACAATATCTTTTGAAATTTAATTATTTCTAAAAATTTCAACTTTAACCCTTCGAAAAGGATTATTATTAAAAAAAAAAATTTTTTATTTAAAAATCTGTAAAATATTTTTGTTATAATATAAAAAACAAATCCACTTTTTTTTAATATAAATCAACTAAAACGACTTTTTGTGTCTTTAAGTTGATTCGAGGCCTGTGTTTTTATAATTAATATTTAATAGGTATTCGTTGGCCCCTGGTACCTTAAAAATTAATTTTTAAAAATTAATTTTTTTCAAATTACTATCTTTTACGAAATTTCCTTGCGCATCTTTTTTCTCATCATAAATTTTTTGTATTTGTATACAATTTTTGAATCAATATACAACTTTAAAAAAAATTTCGTTGGTAAACGTTGTGTATTTCAGCTTCGTGAATTGAATTTTCGAATTTGGAATTTTAAAGAAACTTATTCCAAAATTTGGAAACACAATTATACAACTTTGGCAAAAATGAGAAAAAGAATTGTCAAAATTTGACACGTCATAAGATTACTATTCAAAAAAACACGTGAAATCAGAAAAGGCCAACTTTAAGTTAGGACAGAAGGACAGACCAAGCATTTTATTATTATATAATTTTCATTTTATAGAATTTTATTAGATAGATTTTTAATTTATTCGAATTTGTGTTTTTCGAATTAATGTTTAATAGAATTTAAACTAACTAGAATTTATACATCACAGAATTTCTATGTAATCAAATTTTTATTTAACAAAATATTCTTTCAACATAATTTCCATTTAGCACACTTTTTATTTAAAAGAATTTTTCTTAACACAAATTTTTATTTTGCAGAATTCTTATTAAATAGAATTTTGCCTGAATCAAATTTTTAAATATTACAATTTTTATTAAACCAAATTTTCATTTGTCCAAATTTTTATTAACACAAAATGTGATTTAATAGAAATCTTAAAACATAGAATTTTTATTTATTCTACATTGCAAATGGTCGAATAATCAAACGGCAGAAATATTTCGGCGCCAATTTTAGAATTGACTAATCACAATTTTCTTGACAGTTTTTGATTGGTCAATATTCTAAAATTGGCGCCGAAATATTTCTGCCCTTATTCGACCATTTGCAATGTAGAATAAATAAAAATTCTATGTTTTAAAATTTCTATTAAATGACATTTTGTGTTAATAAAAATTCGGACAAATAAAAATTTGGTTTAATAAAAATTGTGGTATTTAAAAATTTGATTCAGGCAAAATTCTGTTTAATAAGAATTCTGATAAATAAAAATTCGTGTTAAGAAAAATTCTTTTGAATAAAAAGTGGGCTAAATGGAAATACCAGTATTGGGCTTGGCTGCCAGAGTTGGCACCAGTACTGGTAACCACTACTGGTTCAGTACTGGTAGTTTTGTAATTTATTGTATACGAAAAGAAAGCTTTAATTGTAACAGAGATAAGTTTCACTGCAATAATGAAATCTTTGCTCCAAGTAATACTTTTTTTTTTTAGGAAAAAGTGTGTGAAATTTTTAGTAACCTAACACAAATTAAATATTAATTAAATTAGTCAACTAACTAATTAATATTTTAAAAAATCAAAAAATAAATATAAAAATATATTTAGTATAAAACCAAAGTTTTTATAATATATAAAAACAGTTCAGTAAAAATAAAAATGTTTATAAAATAATTATAATGTATATAATTATACAATTAGCTATTTAATTATTTTCTTATATTCACTTTAAATTATTTGCATCAAATTAAATATTTGAAAAACTTTTTTAAGAAAATAAAAGTTTTTTGTTAATTTTTAACAAGTGTTGTCAAGAAATTTTTTTTTTAATTTTTATTTTAAAAATTATTAATTTTTTTTATAAAAAATTTTATTTATTTTTAGTTTGATCGTTTTAAAATTTTTTTCGTTTATTGCATATCTGAAAACAATAAAAAAAAAACTTGCAAAATGTTTTGGAATTAGTCTCAGGAAACTTTTTGTTTAAATAATTTTACCCACAAAAAAGCAAAATAAAATACCTTTTAATTTTCAAAAATAAAATCAAAGTGAAAAAATTTTTATAAACAAAATATTTAAACAAAATAATGCATCAGGTTCACTCTAGAACTTTTTGTAAACTAGTATTAATCAAAAAGAAAATCTATTTGAGTTAGTACTGGCTCTATATCGGCTCAGTACTGGTTTGCCAGTACTGGACGGGTGGTACTGCAACAGTACGGATACAATGAAAATAGCAGTACTGGTTCAGTACAGACTGCTCAGCCTCGGCAGCCAATACTGAACCAGTACTGCGCCAGTAGTTAACTTTGGTATAATACTGAATTTTTTGGTTGGGCATAGAAATTCTGTGATGTATAAATTCTAGTTAATTTAAATTCTATTAAACATTAATTCGAAAACAGAAATTCGAATAAATTAAAATTCTATCTAATAAAATTCTATAATATGAAAATTATAAATAATTCACATTATGGAATAATCAAGCGTCCTAAAAATTCGGCTTAAAAATAATTATGACAAATAAAAATAACATAAAATGAAAATTCTAATGATTTTTAGAACATAATTATGTGTCCCGAAAACCTGACGTAACAACACTTAAATTGCATTTTTTCAGAATGTCCAAGGTGGAGAATTAAAAAATTTAAACAAAATATACATAAGTAAAAGATTACGAGTTAAGAAAATATTTGGAAATGTAATAACAAATAATTTTCACGCACAAGGAGGTCAATTGAATTTTTATAATCCGAACGAAGCTGCAAATTCTATAAATACTTGGGTTTCGCGGGCAACAAATAACAAAATCAACAATATTGTTACAGTTGGTTAGTATATAATATACCCAAATAGCACGTAATATTACAGTTTTATTTAAAATGAAAAATATTATTTAAATTTTAAATAAAATTTTATTCTAAATTTCAATATCTATTGTATATAATTTATTTTTATTTATTTTGCTATATTAACATTGCAATTTTTCGATGTATGTCGCAAATTTTGTAAATTATTCTTCATTTATAAAAAAATTGTCGATTATTTATATTTAGCACAATGTTGCGGTATAATTAAAAAACAATCTGATATTTTGTAATAATGATTTTTAATCGAGGGGGAAATTACTAGTTAAAAACGTGTACACTTGACTACCGGTATTACACCTCATATTACCCTTATTACTAAGTATTACACGTTATTACAGAGTATTACACATTATTACAGAGATATTACAGAGTTTTTTGCGTTATTACAGCACTGTAATAACGCATTATTACACGGTATTACACGTTATTACACAAGTATTACAGGAAGAGTGTACACTTGACTACCTGAGTAAATTCCCCCTCGTTTTTAATATCCGCATATAAAAAACATTTTTGAGCATTATTTTTTGGAATTTACTGCACTGTTAAAAAAAAAGGTAAATATGAATTGGAAATTTTTTTCATTCGTGTAAATGAATTTTAAAAGCATTGAATGAAAATTACGTTATATACTAACTGAAAATTCATGTATGCGCATGCGCTAAGGGCTACTATAACGCATGAATTTTCAGGTACTAAAACTTAATTTTCATTCAATGTTTCTAAACTCCATTTAAATAAACTTCTAGATTATTTCCTCTCTTTTAACAATGTGTATTTGACTAAATTTTAATTTTTAATTTGAGTTTCACGAAAAAAAGTTTATTTTTACAGTTGTTGAAATTTAAGATAATAGCACAGAAGTTATTTAGATAATATATGTATATTTTTACATATAATGATATTTATATTCAAAATAATTTACTTTACTTTTATATATTACTTTTATATTTATTACTCCTTTATGTCATGTATTTTTTTTAAAGAAAGGAATTTAGACAGGATTCTCTTTTTTCAGATGATTTAAATACAGATACTGCCATGGTTATCACTAATATCGTTTATTTTAAAGGCGAATGGAAATATAAATTTTCCAATCGTTTTAGTTTTTATTTTATAAACTATGACAATCAGACTATTTTAGTGTCTAATACTATGTATCGAAAAGCTCAATTTAAATATGCCCATTTGCCTCATATAAAATCCAAAGTCATAGAATTGTCATACAAGGTGAGATTCTCTATATATTCTCTTTCTATATAGTATATCACTATCCAAAATGATAAATTTATACACTGAAAAAAATGTTGCCGAGAAATTCAACTACCATTGGGTAGTTGATTAGAAAGTAGTTAAAATAACTACTTTTTTAGTTAATCTAATCATGTTCATGTAGTTAATGTAACTATTTTTAAGAAGTTAATAAGTAATAGTTGATTTTACGTAAATATGTAGTTAAAGTACAACTACAGGTCGGTAGTAAAATAAACTTTCTTAAGGTAGTAAAAACAAGTGGAATTGTAGTCAACTCAAAATTTAAAGAGTAGTAAATCCAACTACTATTCACCAGTTATATGAAATGTAGTAAAAGGAATTATTTGCTTTAATTAATATAACTGCTTTTTGAGTAGTCAATTTTTTATTAATTTCTATGATTTTACAGGCTTCAATAAAATTCTTGTTGTAGAATTAACAAGTCGTCTGTAATTAAAACTACTACTTTAAGTAGTAGATTTTTTACTAATTTAATTAATTCGATAAACTTAAAGAAGATTTTTGATGTAGAATTTACAAAGCTTCTCCAGTTAAAACTACTACTTTAAGTAGTAGATTTTACTACTCAAAGTGGTACAATAGGCTTTAAGAACATTTATGTCGTAGAATTAAAAAATCCTTTGCAATTAAAACTATCACTTTAAGTAGAAGTTTTTACTGCACTATGCAATTAAACAACATATAATATAATTAAAAGATGAAAAATTTACAAGTAAAAACTTAAAAAGGATAGTTATAGCAACTAATAAAAGTAGTAAAAATGACTACTTTAAATAGTTAAATTACCAATTGGACAAGCAGAAAGTAGTCTTCGAATAGTTTGCAGAGTGTCATAGCGAGCGTGCGTGGTAAGTCGGTTAAGGTATCGGATAGCGAGCGTTAGGGTCGAGGGTTCAATTCCCGTCGGTTAGAAATTTTCTCTGTTAGGTACATAATCGTTAGGGCATAAAATAAGCGTCAGTATAGGAGAGAGGATGAAAAAGTCAATTCTACTGATAATAAACAATTATAAATAAAAAATAATTTTATTTTCCTATTTTAAGTAGTAAAATCTACTACTTAAAGTAGTAGTTTTAATTGCAAAAGATTTATTAATTCTACAAAAAAATGTTCTTAAAGCCTATTGAACCACTTTAAGTAGTAAAATCTACTACTTACATCTTGAGTTGTTTTAACATTTTTAAATTAAGTTAATATAATCACAAAATGTCATTCTACCAATTACATTTTTAATTGGTTTAACTATTTTTATATAGTTAATAGAACCATTTAAATTCAGTTGAGGACCTATTGTACTATTCAGAGTAGTTAAAAAGTAGTAAAACCTACAAGTGTTTTTTTCAGTATAAATACACTGATAGACTTTGTGTTTGAAATATTAGAATTTTTTATACACTAAAGTTTAATATGGTGCTATTTCAAAATGAGAAAAAACAAAATTTTGGTACAAAAATTATTATGATCTATATTAAATTTTTATGCTAAATTCAGAAAAAGTAAAGAGCAAATAAATTCAGTAGAACCCTGGTTATTGAACTATTAATATCAGAAGGAAAAGCCACAAATCCAAGAACAGTCCAGAATTGAATTTAGTTGTATTTAATATGATAAAAAAAAATCCTAATTCGAAATGAGTCCAAAACAATCAGGAATTAAAATTGTAAAAGATCAACAATTAGTCCGCATAAAAATTTTAATTAGAAAGGAATCATTTCGTATTAGGATGTTGGATAAGATTAAGATTGACTTTTTTCTTTTACAGGGTGACGAACTTAGTATGCTTATCGTACTTCCTGATGAAGTTCATGGTCTCGACAATGTTGAAAAAAGTTTAGAGACAATAACCCTTAGAAAACTCCGAAAGGAACTATCTCTTACTGAAGTCGAATTGGCTTTGCCTAAATTTCATGTTGAAATTACCAATGACTTAAATGATACTTTAAAAGAGGTTGGTCATATATTTTAAGGGAGCTTGTAAAAATTATTTTAAATTTACCCTAATTCGCAACACATTTTGTAACCTATATATTTTGGCGCGAAAAAATTTATCCAATTATTCTTTTTTGTAAATGAACGGATAGATTGATTAATTTTTCATGCTAAAATCTTTTGGTTACAAAATTTGCTGCAAATTAGTGTTAATTTAAAATAATTATCAATTTTTTGACATGGCTCCAAGATTATTTTTTTCTGATTTTCATTTTTTTAAATACTAAACTAAAAAATTTACTTCCACATATATAATATAGATGGGTATAAATCAAATGTTTATGTCTCACGCAAACTTCAGGGGCATTACAGATGGAAATCTTTATGTGAGTAAAATTAAGCAAAAAATTGTCATTGATGTCAGCGAGAATGGTGTTGAAGATACTGCAACTACAAGTAAATCTTTTTTCCCCACCTTGGAAAGGTTCCCCGGAAAGTGCCCCCTGGAGGTTCTATCAGAATTCCGCCGAAACTTCCAACGTAATTCCGTCGGAATTCCAAAGAATTTCCGATGAGATTCCGACGGAGTTCCGACGAAATTAGGACTCAAAAAATTTTGAAAATAAAATTAATCGGAATTCCGTCGGAAATTTTTTGGAACTCCGATGGAATTCCGACGGAATTCTGATAGAACCTCCAGGGGGCATTTTCCGGGGAATCTTTCCAAGTGGGTTTTTTTAATTTAATGTAATAATTACAATTCTTAATTATACATTAAAAGTGAAAGAAAAATTAATTTTTTGTGGTATTTTTTTTACAGGTGGATTTTTTACCAACGGAATGATGGGAGAGCATATAAATCAACAATTTCATGCTAATCATGCTTTTCATTATAAGATTATTAGAACAGTTGGTGAACATGATGGTATTGCATTGTTTGCTGGTAATTATAAATATATATAGTAATTTAGAGAATATAAGAATATTAAATATGTCTGCAAGGCCAAAAAACGAACACATTAAATGTGTAAAATTATAAATTTAAGTTTGTACAAACAACATTACTATTTAACATTTTAATAAAATAAAAATGGAATTACAATTTATTAACAAAAAACTTCATAAATTGTGATATTAATATAAAATTTACATATTTCTTTAAATACATTTACATTTAATATTTTGTGTAGAATTAAAATATTGTGACTAAATAAAAAAAATTATATATTTAATATACATAAATTGATAATATAAGAAAAATAATGATATAAAAAAATATTTTTGTCTTTAATTATTGATGAATGTTGATTCTCTTTAAAAGTCGAGAGCATGCGTAGGTACTCTTAAGCATGACCTGCCTATAAGAGTAAGCAAATGACTATTCTTCAAAAAATATTTAATTTACAAAAAAATAAGATAATAAACAAATATTTTCATTATAAAATAAAACAATGTTTTTATAATAAATATTTATAAATAAAAAAATTAACAAAACAAATTGAAATTAGTCAATTGGAACTTTCGGCATGCTTATTACGAATCTAAAATTAAATGGGAAAATTCAAAATCTCAGACACTGTTTATAAATTCATCAAATTTGCTTGAAATTCGTAATTCAGGAGTTTTTGGAATCGCTGATTACAAAATTTAAAATCAGTTTTTAAAAATTCAAAATGGCGGACACATTTTCTAGAAGTAGACCTATTTTGCTTGAAATTTGTTACTGTCGGGGAGGGGGGGGGGTTCCGAAGTCGCTGGTTGCAAATATGAAATTAATTTTCAAAAACTCAAAAAATTTTGATAAATTCATATATCTCTTAAACGGCTTCATAAGAAAAATTATTACATTACCGTATAATTTAGTAATATATAATATACTATACACTATTAAATTTATCTAATATATTTTTTCATTTAATGATTATTTTTTTTAACATTTGTTTTTAAGTCATTATGTATATATATGGGCAAATCCACGAAACTTTTAACTTTCAAGAAAAAAAATTTCTTTTTTTAATTTGCAGCCACATTGATGTCACTTTGTATACACGTTTAAGTACATTTTAGCACTACAAATTCATATGCGTGATTCATTTTTACCTCACGACGTCAATGTTTAACTCTTTTAAACTCTTTAATGTTAATAAATTACATATAAAATTGAAAAATTCAGCTCTCTAAATTTGAATTAACTAAAATTTCACTGTTTGAATCAGCGAATAAAGTTTTCACTGCAAATCAGCGGATACAGCTAATAAAATAGCGAAACACGAATCGGCGAACGTCGGTCATTTTCGTCGGAAGATTTTTAAAATGGTGTATTCCGCTGATTGAAATAGTTGTTAGTCGCTGATTCGCAGCTGCATACTTATAGCTTTTTCAATCAGCGACTATTCGCTGCCATTCAGCGGATTTTAGCTGATTCAAATTTAGAGAGTGAACACGATTCTGTCACCCAAATTTGCACGTCAGGATTTTGAGAAAAGAGGGGGTAAAGACTCCAAAAAAGTTTTTTCAGCATATTCTTAGCTTAATAAAATTTATTTCACTCAAAATCCTTAAGCGGCGTTTTTGTGTTCAAATATATGTATGAAAATGTTTAGATCACACCAAAGATTGACCTGTTTAAAGCAAAAATGCAGTTGTGCCTTTCAAAAATGTATAAATTTAAATGAAATCTCGATTTTTATTATTATCTTTAAATTGTTGCCACAGGAATACAATTAGAGGCACATCATTATAAAAGGTCTTAGAATTTTTGTCTTTTCATCACCTTTTAAAAAATGCATTGAACTTTTATTTTTATCCAACGCTGTAATAGATATTTTCATAAGAAGACGTTCAATTGAATTTTTTTAAAAAGTGTTATCACTCAATCAAACCTTCGTATTTTTAGTTTTAATGGTGGCACACTAATGGGATAGTGAAAATTTTTTGACAAAATATGTCTGGTAGATATTTCCATAGTAGCTGAAGTGATATTTTACACGCCGCAAAAATAAAAACATTAAGAATATAAACTTTTTCAAGAAATTCAAATGAAATTTAAGTATTTTTTCACTTTTTAACTTATAAAACTAATTGTCAAATAAATATTTTGTTTTAATATTGTATATAAATGTTCCTTTGAATATAATTTAGCAAAAAAAAATGATACCCATATATACTTAATTTATCATTATTAACAAAAAAATTTGATAATATAACCAAAAGCTTTCTTGATCTGTAGAATACTTTTATGTACTTATGTTAATTTATATATATAAACTTAATAAAACTTTCTAAAAAGTATCAAAAGCATCGATTACACATGTAATTGATGTATTCCATGCCGTCAAAGTCCATCTGCAATTGCATCTTCAATTTTTTTTTCATTTAGTACTAATTGAGACTAGCTTTCATAAATTTTTAAAATTTTTTTTACCAAGGCGTCTTCGAGTTATGGAATTTTGAAAATTGGAGAATTTTCATCACTTTTAATTTTTGAATGCTCATAACTTCCTTAAAAATGCATCAATTTTAAAAAAGTTTTTTTTCAAAATGTGTGTTTTTAAACGTACTTTTCAAAAACAAAAGATCGAAATTTTTTTTAAACGATATTACTATCAAATTTTTGAGTTTTAATGATAAAAAGTCATTTTTCTCAATTGAAGTACTGATCGACTTTTTTAAAAATTTTTTCAAAAAAATAACTTCTTTTTACGAATTTTTTAAGCCTAGCCCTTTAATTGGCAAACGATTTTTACAATACATTTGGAATTTTTCAAAATTCATTGAATTTAAATTTTTTAAAAATATTTTTGGTTTTTTTATACTACGTACTTTTATGTATATGTTAATGAGCTGATTACGAAAATCATAATGACAATACCCGAAAATTTGATTTTTATGGTGAAAACCATAAAAAAGTTCAAAAATTTATGGTACTTTTCGTTTATTAGGTAAACTATGTAAAATTGAAAAAACAATTTTTAGCCAAAAGTTATATATCGTATTAAAATACATTTTTTATATCTTTTGCATTTTTTTTTAAATTTTGCATGTTTTACCTAATAAACGAAAAAAAACATATAAATTTTAGCACTTTTTTATGGTTTTTAAAATAAAAATTAAATTTTCAGGTATTGTCACTATTATTTTCGTGATCAGCTCATCGAAGTACATAAAAGTACGTAGTATAAAAAAAAACTAAAAATATTTTTAAAAAATTTAAATTCAAAGAAATTTGAAAAAATCCAAAAATATTGTAAAAATCGTTTGCCCATTATCGGGCTAGGCTTCAAAGTTTCGTAAAAAGAAGTACTTTTTTTGAAAAAATTTAAAAAAAATCGATCAGTACGTCAATTGAGAAAAACGACTTTTTATCATTAAAACTCAAAGTATGGTATGGATTACACGCGTATAGTTACATGTGTAACAATTCTTAAAATTTCGAAAAAAATTTTGATATATAAATTACACGTGTAAGTAATTTCTATTGTGACATTGGTTTTAAGATTAGTTATGTATATAATTACTTTACCGCTATCATTATTAATAAAAAATTTGTTAATGTTACTGAAAACTCTTCCGGATCTTTTGTATACTATCTGTACATTAGATTACAGTTTATTATTTACATATTAAAGAAATAATTTTTCCTTTATTTGAACTGCGTAGTTTTATAAGTTAATTTTATTTACATACAATAAATATTTCACAATATTTTACTGTACCTAGGTGTATATATATCCAACTAACAACTAGCAAATTATATCAGTCTCAAACTGTTAAATAAATTGAAGTCTTCAATATAGTAGTATCTATATTGCTGCATCAAAATGATGTTCACACGTAAGTTTTTTCTTTATGTTTTTAATATTTTATTTAAAATTAATTTTATTTTTCAAATTTATTAAAAATATAATTTTTTATAACAATTTTCTAACGGTATAATAAAGGAGAATTGTTCACTTTGTTTTTTTATATGTTTAAAATACTTAATATCTATATATTTAAGGCTTCACGATGAAAAAGAGGAACTTAAAGGCAAAAAAGTTTAGGTTATGTTTAGTGATAGTTTTAGCATTAATTAAATATGATTTTTTTTTAATTATATAAAATTAAAATCAGTTTTTATTTAATATTTTTGATTTAATAAAGTCTTATATATTATGAAGTATTATCCCTCATAACAAAAGGATATCCATATCAATGGTCGATATCCTAGAATGGTCCGCATCCTGAGAATATCTTCTTGACATCCAAAAGATATACTGAAAATATCCTGAAAATATCTGTAGGACATCCTAACGATATCTATGAGATATCCTGATGATATCTGTGGGATATCCTGGCGATATCTATGGGATATCTGGAGGACATTTATGAATGTCTATAGAGATATCCAGAAGATATTCAAACCGCCGATTTTTTGGATATCCTTAAGAGATCCTTTTGATATCCATAGGACATCCCTAGGATATCTGCGGGATATTATCAATATATCCCAAGATATCTTGTGTTATTAGGGATATATTACAATTATTCTTGGAAAGTATTTTCAATTTAAAAACTACAAACATAACCCAGTGGGCAAAAAACCATGCTCGTTCTAAAAACGTTTTAAGGATGTTTTTAGAACGTTTCATGTTCGCTAAATAATGTTCTGGAACATTATTTGAACACCCATGTTCTTAAAATGTTCCAGAACATTATTTAGCGGACATGAAGCGTTCTAAAAACGTTCTTAAAACGTTTTTAGAAAGAAAGTGGTTTTTTGCCCACTGGGAACTTAAAATTTGTTTGCCTCTAACTTATCTTTTCTTGTGGCATGTTACATATTTTCATTTTGTCGCCCAAGATTCTCATTCTAAATTTGATTTGTGTCTTTTTTTGCAGATTTACTGTCGTTTTATCTAATAGGTACTTGTAGTATTTATGCAGTAATGGCTTATGGTAACGTAAATTACTTTAGTGAAGAATTGGTACAACGACTCGACTTTTATCAAGCCTTGGAAAAATTCAATAACGACTTATACAAGGTATATATATATCTACCTATATTACAAAAAGATATCGCCGCCAACGCCGCTGCTGCTGTTTCAAGACTCTGAATACAGCCGCAAGTCCCCCCCCCCTTCATCCCCCCTCGCCAAAAATGACCTAAGTTTTGAGGTTATGTTCGTTTCAAGACTCTGAATAAAGCCGCATGTCGTCCCCCTCTCTTACGTTGAAGGGGTTGTGGATTTTCCACCAAAATTGACATACATTTTGAGGTTATGTTATTTTGTCGGGAAACGACCAAGAAACAAACATAACCTTAAAATTTAGGTCAAACTTTAAAGGAAAATGACCAAAAAACGAACATAACTTTATATGTAGGTCAAATTATGGCAGGAAATTTAAAAAAATTAAATAAATTTTGGTTTAAAAAATTAAAAATAATAAAAATTATTATTAATAAAAATCATAAATAAGATTTAAAAAAAATAAATAATAAAATATTTATAATGGTTTTAAATTCCAGAAATTGGCCAAAAATAAATTCAAAATAGGTCATATGTCCATCAACAAAAACAATAAAAAATGGGGGGTTGGCGCGCGAAGCGCGCAGGGTGGCTGGTGTATCTATATAAGATCTAAACAATAAATTTTTAATAAATATTGTATAGATGTTTCATATATTTTTATTCTGATGTCTAGAATGCACCGTCAAAAGGATCCATACAAAATGTTTTATTATCTCCTTTGAGTATAAATATACTCCTAGCTATACTTGCCGTTGGAGCTGGAGGAAGAACTAGATCTCAAATAATCACAGCTCTCAATCAGCCAGTCCAGTCGGGCGCACAAATTTTAAATAATTATAAGTTGATTATGGAAAATTGGATGGTAAGAACATAAGTAAATGCGCGGTGAAATTAGTTCCAACATTTGGATTACTTTGTCCGAAACTTTAATCCGGCATACTATCCTTATAAGTTATATTGCATTTTTTTAGAATGTCACAGGTGCAGAATTAGAAATTTCTAACGCAGTATTCTTCAGTGATTGTCTAAAACTTAAGAGAGAATTTTATCACGAATTATTATTTTACTTTAAAGCACATGCATTTTTAGCGAATTTTGGAACCCCAACAGCAACAGCAAATAAGATTAATAACTGGATTTCGACACAAACAAATAACAAAATCAATAATGTATTATCACCAAGTACGTATATAATTTGGAAAAATTTTTTGATAAGAAAAATAAGTGTAAAGTTTGTTTTAACTCTAAAGCTATGAAGTGGTGAACATTTATAAATAAAAATTTTTGATTTTAATCTACATTCACTTTTTTTCAGATGATATAGATGTAACATTTACTAAAATGGTCCTCACTAATGTCATTCACTTTAAAGGTGAATGGAAGTATAAGTTCTCCGATGTTACTAATTTGTTCTTTTATGACTATCATGGTCAAACTAAAATCGTACCTACTATGACTCAAACAGCTCAATATAGAGTGGCACATGTTCCTGCAATAAAAGCTAATATCATAGAATTGCCATATAAGGTGAGATTCTCTATATTCTTTCTATCACTATACAAGATGAACCACATTATTTTGCAATTATATCTTTGATTAATTTTATAAAATATTATGATTCTTTTAGTACTAATTAAAATTAGCTTTCAAAATATTTTTGATAATTTTTTTTAGCAAACCGTTTACAAGATATAATTTTTTTTTTGAAAAATTTTCAAAAATTTTAATTAACAATCTGCATGTGGTATCATGACGCAACAATGATGATTTTGTACATAAAAAGTCTGGAATCATTTCGAATTAGAATGTTGAATGATATTAAGATTGACTTTTTTCTTTTACAGGGTGATGAACTTAGTATGCTTATCGTACTTCCTGATGAAATGTATGGTCTGGACGATGTTGAAAGTAGTTTAGAGAGAGTAAACCTTAGAAACCTCAGAAATTCTCTATCGCTTATTACAGTTAAATTGAATTTACCTAAATTTCGGGTTGAAGCTACCACTAACTTGAATGATGCTTTATATAAGGTTGGTTACATTTTAAGTTTACTCTAATTTGAAACACATTTTGTATTGGACAGAAATTAACGTGAAAAATGGATTAATTCATTTGCTGTTTTTTATTATTGGAAGATAAAAGTGGTGCACATGTTTTTGAATGAATTAATAAATTTTTCACGTCAAAATCTGTTGGTTACAAAATTTGCTGCAAATTATTATAAATTTAAAATAATTGTCAATTTTTTTTATATCCAACGTTATTAACATCAATTACTTTTACCTGATTTTCGTTTTTTTAAATACTAAACTAAAACATTTACTTCCACACATAATAGATGGGTATAAATGATTTGTTTACGGATTTCGCAAACTTCACTCGCATTACAGATGACATAATTGGTGGGTGTAAAATTATCCATAAAACTTTTATTGAAGTCAACGAGAATGGTGCTGAAGCTGCTGCAGCTTCAGGTAAGTCTTTTTTTAAATTTCTATTATATAATATTTTTAATTTTTCTTAATTACATTTAAAGTAAAAAAAACTTATTTTTTGTGTGGTATTTTTTTTCAGCTGCACGTGTCGCCTTTAGATCAATGAATCCCCCTGGTCCTCCAGAATTTAATGCTAATCATCCGTTTCATTATAAAATTATTAAATCAGTTGATGAAAATAATGATGTTGTATTGTTTGCTGGTAACGTCAAACGTATAGTGTAATTTATAACATACAAATTAAGAGGTTACATGAGTTTGCAAGGCCATAATACACACATTAGAAAAAAATTCTAAATTTAAGAATATCTTGTAAGCGCCTATTTAAAAATATTATTTTCATGCATTTAATTTTTAAAGTAAGAAAAAAATACATATTGTTTAATAATTATCTGGAAATTTTTATAATGTAACCAGTTATAAAAGAAAATAAATTAAAATTTAAATGTACTTGAATTAATTAATTAATTAATCCTACGCTTCTATATATATATATATATTAAAGAGTAGTAAATCCAACTACTATTCACCAGTTATATGAAATGTAGTAAAAGGAATTATTTTCTTTATTTTGACTAGTCAAATTTTTATTAATTTCTATGATTCAATAAAATTATTGTTGTAGAATTAACAAGTCGTCTGTAATTAAAAGTACTACTATAAGTAGTAGATTTTTACTATTTTAATTAATTCGATAAACTTAATGAAATTTTTTGATGTAGAATTTAGAAATCGTTTCCAGTTAAAACTACAACTTTAAGCAGTAGATTTTACTACTCAAAGTGGTACAATAGGCTTTAAGAACATTTTTGTTGTAGAATTAACAAATCCTTTGTGATTAAAACTACTACTTTAAGTAGTAACTTTTTACTATTTTAATTAATTCAATAAGCTTGAAAAACGTTTTTGATGTAAAATTTACAAATCGTTTCCAATTAAAACTACTACTTTCAGTAGTAGCTTTTACTTCTTAAAGTGGTTCAATATAGGCTTTAAGAACATTTATGTCGTAGAATGAAAAAATCCTATGCAATTAAAACTATCACTTTAAGTAGTAGATTTTACTGCACTATGCAATTAAACAACTTATAATATAATTAAAAGATAAAAAATTTACAAGTCAAAAATTAAAAAGGATAGTTATAGCAACTAATAAAAGTAGTTAAAATGACTACTTTAAATAGTTAAATTACCAATTGAACAAGCCGAAAGTAGTCTTCGAGTAGTTTGCAGAGTGTCATAGCGAGCGTGCGTGGTTAGTCTGTTAAGGTATCGGATAGCGAGCGTTAGGGTCGAGGGTTCAATTCCCGTCGGTTAGAAATTTTCTCTGTTAGGTACATAATCGTTAGGGCATTAAATAAGCCAGTATAAAAAATATAAAATAAGTCAGTATAGGAGGGAGGATGAAAAAGTCAATTCTACTGATAATAAACAATTATAAATAAAGAATAATTTTATTTTCCTACTTTAAGTAGGAAAATCTACTACTTAAAGTAGTAGTTTTAATTGCAAAAGGTTTATTAACTCTACAAAAAAATGTTCTGAAAGCTTATTGAACCACTTTCTGTAGTAAAATCTATTACTTACATCTTGAGTATAGGAAGTAAACAGTCTAGCACTTTGTTATTTACTAAATTTATACGACAAATCAGAAGCAACATTTTGTAATTTGCTAAAACTATACGCAAAAGTAGAAGTGGTGTTATAAAATAAAGCACGTTTCAATATTTGCTAAAACTATACGAAAAAGCAGGAGCCATGAATAAAGAAGGACGTCGGAACCACCAATGTCTTTTTTCTAAGATTTTCTTTCCTTTTCTATTCGAGGGTAGTGGGAGTCTTTCTTAGTACACACACATAACTGGTACGCTTTGATTGGCTTAAAATTATTCCTAACACATCCTAACTACAATACGCATACATAAACGCAGAATAACGCAACGCATATAGATACATAATCCACGCTGAAATGAGAAATTCTCAACTTCTTTATATACTAAATAGACAGATTTTTCTGCACTTGTGAGAAACTTAATATTACATTGTTAAATATTTAAAAATAAAAATAAAAATAATTATTTATTACGAAATAATAAAATATTTTATTACCTTTCAAAGAACAATTTTTATCATAAAATCATTTAATTTAATTATAGAAGCAAACTTATAACAAATATTCTATAATTATATTTAGAAAAAGAAATATAGAATAATTTAAAACAATTATTTATCAAAACTTTTTCTAGTCTATATTGCAGAAATAAAAATTATATAAAAATTATGAGCAAACAAATGAAGTATTTTATTATTAAATATTAATTAAAATTATTTTTAATTCATATTTCAGTATTTAAAATTATTTTAAAATCAGGATGTCCAGCAAGGCTTAAAGAAAAAAATTCCCTGACTTTTCTCTGACATTTTTTTTTCGTGACTACTCGTTAGTGATAGGTTAAACTCGGTCGGACTCAATCGCTTAACTTCGTCAAACTTGGGTGATTTTTGATATTTTTCTATCATTTTTTGGAAGAAAAAGTTTCTATTAGTATTATATGTAAATGTAAGGATTTAACACCAATCCACTTTCTTATCGACTATATAAAAATGTAAAATGATTATAGAAGTTAACGGAATTCTAAATACAGAAAATGAAATATTTTATTCTAATAGTTGTTACAGGGCGTATTAGAATTTAACATTTGGAGTTTTCATAATACAATTATGAATTTCGCAAAAACTATTCTTATTTTTGTTTCTAAATATATTAAACTTTATTATTTTTATTTTAGGCATTATTAAAAAAAAGTAACGAAAGTTATTACCACCCCAAAATCTGCAAAATCTTCCGCAAATATGAGTTTATTAAATATGAGTGTCAAAATATTAAATATTCTAACAAGATTTCTGTCCGTGTAGTAAAACCTAATCACGATGTGCGAGGCCACGATACTTCCAAGTTAGATGACACTGGTCTCTTACTTTTATATCCCTATGCTTGATTTTATTTCTACAAATATGACATGTACTTGCATTTCTAAAATCAGCAAGTTGCTGAGGACTTAACACTTCCATTGGTACAGGATTTTTAAATGTCCTATCAAGATTGTCAGACAAATTTTTTAACTCAGTTGAAAACCATTTAGCTGGATCTTCTTCATCTTTTGGAGATGCTTTGTATATGGACAAGGAGTCATCAAAGGCACACTTTAAATAATATCCAATACAGAGCATTTTGTGGTTTTGAAAAACCTCAGTATTGCTGGCTTGTTGTGGTGCTTCGGCAGGAATCAAGAGACTTTCACAATCCGCATATATTATAAATGGTACACGCTCCTTGTTTTGGAAATTTTTAAATTCAACAAAATTTTTACCTGGATTCGGCAGCACAATACTCGTTTCATTGATCTTCTTACAATTTTCTTCATGTTCAAAAAGTTTATTTTCATCTCCAAAGTAATGCAGGCAACGATCGCAAATGTACTTTTTGTTTTTTTTCTTGGACAATTGACTGCTGACAAGCTTTGATAAATCTTTGATCCAAACATAATGGTAGTTAAAAGAGATGATGGTTACTTGATCGATCTCCTCATCCTCCTCCGTAAAATTTTTATCAATGTAGTGGTCCTCAATTCGAAGAAGATTTACATGAACAACCTTCTTTTGTGATGAAAGATGTAACGAAGCTACTGTAAACTTTTCTGCCTTTTTGACAAGTCCATATACATTAACTGAAATGTTGTTCTGAGCTTCAAATTTTAAAATATCTTTGAGTGAAACAGGGAACTCAATTCCACTGAAATTAAGTTCATTCTCATAAAGCCTATATTTTGAAACTCGATCTGCATGGTTTTCAACTTGGTGTAAAGCTGACAAAATTGACCATTTAAAACATTGATTGTCTGTATTTTGAACATTAATACAAACTTGTTTCCTTTTAATGAAAAGTGGCAAATCAATATAAGAACCAGCACGCATGAGATTATACTTGTTAATGTTAACCTCCAACCTTTGAATAGAATCAAGTCTCCAATTAGAATCTTTTTCTTGGAATTCTTCGATTCGTCTCAAAGTTGGTTGTTTAACATTCTGATTGTACCACTCATCTAACTGGGTTGTAACTAAAATCTCACATGTTTTCGCGATAAATGTCTTTATATCTGACATTTCTCCATTACCTACAATTAAATCTTTTTTAAATTTAGCACACAAAACTGTATAAACTTTTAGCGGACCAAATTTGTTTAAAGCTGTTTCAATATTACTTTTAAATAAAACATAAGCATCATCAAAGAACTCATTAATATCCTTCCCTATTGAAAATCCCCACATGGGAAACCACATGGGATCCTATGTCAAAAACCATGTAAAACCCCATTCCCCATATGGGAAACCACATGGGATCCCATATAAAAACTCATGGGAAATTGGGACAGGAATTGGCATAGGAAAATATCAAAACGAGGTTCCTCCATGTCATTTCCTATGTCAAATCCCATGTCAAATATCATGTTAAATACCATGTTAAATACTAATTGAGATCCTTTATCACTTTTTTGACAAATTTTCCCATGTCAAACCCCATGTCATTTCCCAAGTAAAAACCTTTATCATTTTTTTGAAAAATTTTCCAATGTCATTTCCCATGTGAAATCTTTTATCATTTTTTTGAAAAATTTTCCCATGTCAAATCCTCTTTCGCCTTATCGAAAATACCCACATAGGAAAGCATATGGGAATCCACATGGGAATCCATATGGGAAATGGAATACGATTTCATGTGCATTCTTCCAAATGATAAAACAAATAGATTTAAGCATAGGAAATCATATAAGATTTCATATAGATTCTGAAATTTCAACCTAAGATTTCACATGGATTTACATATAGGAAACGATATAGGATTTTATTCGGGAATTTTTTAGTTGGCTGCTTTATGCAGGCGGCAGATTACAAAAAAATTAATTATTTGATTAAATATCAAATAATAATACTTCAATTCATCTGAAAATAAAAAAAAGTTTACTTTACATCTGCCTTAGACTCTCAGCTTTTATAGTATTCCAGACTGATCTCAACTGTGAGAGAAAATATTTTCACCATCTGGTGGTGAAACAATGAAACTATAATGACGATCAACATCTATATTGAAATTTCCTATGTCATTTCCCATGTGAAATCCTCTTTCATTTATTCGAAAAATTTTCCCATGTCATATCCCATGTGAAATCTTATCATTTTTTCGAAAAATTTTCCCATGTCATTTCCCATGTGAAATCCTTCATCATTTTTTTGACAAATTTTCCAATGACAAATCCTCTTTCGCCCTATCGAAAATACCCACATGGGAAAGCATATGGGAATCCACAGAGGATATGGAATACGATAAAGGATTTCACATGGCAAATGACATGAGGTTTGACGTGGGAATTGATATGGGAAAATTTTTCCAA